CCCCCCCCCCTCTCTCTCTCTCTCTCTCTCTCTCTCTCTCTCTCTCTCTCTCTCTCTCTCTCTCTCTCTCTCTCACACACACACACACACACACAGAGGGCAAACACCACAGCAGAAGCACAGTATATGGGAAAGAATGAAGTACAGGTAATCAGAGGTCACTTGCCTTGTGTGCCAATTCGTGGCAGTCGACACAAAGGAGAACAATGTCATGAGAACGATGACTTTTCAAGCGCTCGGGGAAATGCTGCCAAGTCCAGAGATTCCAGAGAGGTGAACAATGAGGCCTTCAACACAACAACCAAGGCAAGCAATAAACAGTAACCCCCCTGATGGAGGTCCCACCCACAAAGCCAGGTCCATCAAAATGTCTTTAAATTTTTGAAATGATTCAAATGAAAGTTTTGTTGGCTTCACTGCACATTTGAGGCCCTGCAAGCTCATCAACCCCTTCAATCTGCATTGAACATCAAAGAGATAGTTTTGAAATGAAAGTTTTGAAATGAATAGTTTCAGATCCAAAATTCTGGAAAATTCTAACTTGTGAAGTTGTAATCAAATTGCAGAGGGAAAAGTTGGAAATACGCGCTTCATCAACCTCTGCAATCTGCATTGGACTGCAATGCTGCATAGGATACAGAGAAAAAAGAAAAAGAAAAAAGGGTCCCCAACAATAGAACGGGGCAATCAGCAGGGGGATGGTCACACCGTCCCCTATAGAAGTCTCACGTGTGTTTTGTAATTTTTGTTTAAACAAGAAAAGGATAAAGAGAAAAAAAAACATGTGACAGTTACCCTCATTCCACCAAAAAAGAGTCTATATGTATCTTGTGCTCATAATTGTCCCAATACATTCGAGAAGTACAGACTCCTCCGAATGCACCCGGTCTAGGAAAACGTCTGTACGCATGTAGAGTGTCGAGCAGTGGAGTGAGGAGCATTATCAATACAATTGAGTTCAAGGAATGCAATGACTGCCAAGTGGCAGCACCTGCCTACTTCAAACTCATCCTGACCAAAGGCCATTTGTGCTGTGCAGTGATGATCCCCGACATGGAGGTGCAGTCCTCACGACAAGGAGCCTCGCTCCACTACACAACATTCTAAACGCACCTGTACTGTGATGTTATTCACATGCATTACGACCTACGACACATTTTAAATGCATCCGGACCACATGCAGATCCAGATACATTTGGAATGCTGTATAGTGAAGTGAGACCCACGTTCTGTAGAGGGAGGAAGTGTGCGAACCGCAGGGTAAAGATAGGTGGGGTACATGAGATAAACACATACATGGCAGGGTTAATGAACGTGGAGTACCTGGGAAAAACGAGCACACAGGAAGGGGTAGGCAAAAACGCACGCATGTCACACACACACACACACACACACACACACACACACACACACACACACACACACACACAGAGAGAGAGAGAG